CGAAGTAACAAGAAATAATCAAAACATTTCAAGTCTCGCACAGTCTGACAGCCGTTTCGAAACACTGTGCGACGACGTTTCCGCGTCCTTGCCTGAACCATGACCCGGAAATTATACACGTAGCTGACTTTCTTCCCTTTAATTTCGTCTGCGGGCGTTCCGCGCGCGTCTCTTTCGGCCTGACACCCGTGTTGTTCCTCCTCCATTAAATTAATTGCCGCATCGCAATTTCACCGGGCGAATATTTCGACGCTGCGAAACGACTGTCCCACGGGGCCATGCTGTAAACCGAGAACAGCGTACGTTTTTTTCCTTTTTTATTTTTCCCCCTCTCCCGTTGTCCCCCTAGCCATTTCATTTGACACAGTTTCAATTTTCGTAACGTGCCTCGGTTACGTCAGCCACGAATCGCGTCATAACCGGATGAACATATGTTCCGCGGCCTTTTCGGCGAATTGCCACGATACAGTGCCGACTGTTATGAGAATCAATTGTTGAAGAGAGAACCGGTTGTTTTTCCAGTTCAGCTAGACAAACCGCTCGGATTGTTCGATGATTGCGCAGGATTTCGCACTGTCACTGCGATTTGATACACCGTGTGCTCCTCTTGATAGATCGAGGACGCATTCGTGTTGCTCGAAAGTTGACACTTTTGATGAATTTTGGGAATTTCTTTTTCAGTGAAATTGTTAGAACTTGATGGTAATCGTTAGGTAATTTGAATATTGTGTGTCTGCTACAGTCACTGTGGTTTGATACACTGTGTGATCCACTTGATAGATCGAGCTATTCGAAAATTGACACTTTTGGTGAATATTTGTAATTCTTGTTTTTTTAGCGAAATGAGTAGAACTGATGGTAATCACGAGACAATTTGAATATATTGTACGTTTGTACGTTAGTATTCTGTTGATCTCCGCTGTATTTTCGATTAACGCCTTCGGCGGTGGTAGGTGAAATTGGAGGCAATTAGCCTCATTGTTTTCAGCAGGTGAAAACGGTCAAGCGTATGCTTGTTCTCTCTAATCGACGTTAGAGTGTGCGGCTGTTAACCTGAAATTGATCGTCGATCATAGTACTTGCTTGAAAACGCTAACAACCTTAAAAGCGGGTATTAGACCAACTAATCACATTATCCGCAACTTCAATTACTATCCTGTATACCATGCCTCTCCTGCGATTCTCGATAGCCATGGTGATTTTTTATCGTGCACGTACATTAACGATCGTTATTCGCTACTTTTAGCCAAACATTGAAGGGTAAAAAAGGATAGATTTAGATACTTCTGGACAAATGATGATATTCTTAAAAACTTTGTAAAAAATAAGGTATCAAACATCATATGCCTCTCTTGCAATGATACGAGGTTACTTTTGAATAAAAATAATCATCAAATTTTAATAGAAGTACACCTCATAAATATGGACCTAAATCGATTGATTTTCACCGTTTTCGTAGGTTTTGAGCACGATCAGTGCGGAACTGTGCTAAATCTAACGAATTTCATCCGTTTTGAGCATGGTCGCTGCTGAATTTTGCCAAATCAACCAAATTTCAACCATACAATGGTACAATTAGAATCTTCCACTCTCCAATTTCATAAACACAAATTTCATTATAAGCACGACACAATTTACGCAACGAGGTCCGATATCCGTCGTTCCAAAGCAATTTCGAAGATTCCTCTTCCACCACTAGTGGTCACGGTGTAAACCATAAAATTCTCGTGCAAATTGCTCGCGATTCTTGTGTGGACCGAGAGAGAGGAGAGGCTGATAGAGGCACGAGCACACGCTCTCGGAACGTTTCCTAGTTAGGCCAATTCCGTACTTTCGCTCGTCACGCAAACCATAAAATTCTCGTGCAAATTGCTCGCGATTCTTGTGTGGACCGAGAGAGAGGAGAGGCTGATAGCGGCACGAGCACACGCTCTCGGAACGTTTCCTAGTTAGGCCAATTCCGTACTTTCGCTCGTCACGATTAATTAGCTTAATTCTGGCTTCCTGTTGTGCGTACCGGCGGGGCACCCGAGGCTCGTTGCGTGTCACGCCGGCATAACCAGCCGCATTCCGGCGTCATAGTTGACGCACGTATGTCGTCGTAAAAGCACTCGTGGCATCCGCGAGGATGAGCGCCGCCGAGACGTCGATCTGCATTTCTCTGCTGTGCGTCTACGTACTCAGGGCCACAACACCACCGACCCGCGCCACCAGTCGTTTCGGTAAGGAGCGTGTCTACGTCGCTGATAGATCATCTCTGCCAGTTGTGCATTTGCCGGTTGTCCTTACGTCGCGTTTCGAGGTAATCAAGATTTAACACCGAAAGCGTCTATAGACGTTGCACATTAGTGTTTCCATAGGTTTAACCCTTTAACGCTCGCATTTATATCAACTTGACGTGACAGAAAGGATCAATTGTTTTTCCTAGATTTAGAGAAACAAGTTTTTCGCTATTTATGATGCTGTAAGTCACGTTTTTGGTGTATAAGCAATAACGCAATATGGAAAATAAAAGAAAGTTGCATTTGTTGGACGATTAGAGTTGCGCACGTGGGAGACATGCGTGAAAGAAAATCGATATTTTTTTGAAATTTTGAAAAATCAACAGAATACCCTTTTAAACGGAATATGCAGATTGAGAATGAAAGTTATTGCTCCTCCATTAGGCAATTGCTGAACAACTGTGGATAATGCGTATGAGGTAGGGAAACTAGACAACTGAGGGTTGATGGAGTTAATTGATCACACAAAGAATTACTATCTTATAAATTATCGATCGAAACTTTCAAATCACCGTGCGCAAAAAAGTTAGCAATCTTAAAAACTTCTCAAATCGATCTGTCGATCCTCCACAACGTCAATTTCAAATCTACAAAGAATCACTAGCAAATTCCATAAATTCCTGCTAATTTCAAACTCTATTTTCTGCATTTTCCACTATTAACTCCTAATTATATCCTGAAATTCCCTCCGAAGGGACTTTCCAGCAACGCGTAAGCTGTATAAATATTAAGACATCATTTACTCCGCCCTGAAACCAGCAAGAACGCTAGTTTAAATGAAGACATATGCGTGGAGTCTTGCAGCGGTGAATTTCGTTTCTTTTCGAAATTCCTAGAACCTTGTAAATGTCCCTTGTCACGTTTGAGTAACTTGTCGACGCTGGTGTGCGGTAGCTACCGTGAATAGCTGGAATCGCTGTGATTAGGGGTTTGCGACTTGAAAGGCACTTGTGACTCACGATATACGGTATGCCAGTTGTGTATGATCTCGTGGAACAGAGTCGTGAGTCAGAGATAATTTTCCACCCCCTTACGCATGTATACATATATATATATACATACGTCATTTCCTTTTCTCTTTCGCGTAAAACCTAACTTAACTTTACTCGGCTCTACGGTGTAATTCCCCTCAATTTTCTTCCTTGTATTTTTCCCGACTCCAGAAATAGACGAAAGAAATAATAAATTTGATAGAAGCACGAGGAGCGAAAGGTCAAAGCCCTTTATCACCGTGATACAAGAAATGCTTACGTTGTTACGGTGTTCACTTCAGATGATGCATGTTATTAGAATTATTTTACAAGCTACCTTCCCTGCTCGGCGCATTAATATTTCGTTTAAAAAGGATCGCAGACATTGCGTCGGCCGACATCGGATGATGTTACAGAAGCGAGACCTGACTGATGACAGTGGGTTTTTTCCTCGATGTGTACAACGTAGAGAAAAAGAGTCGTAAACCACAGACAATTTTTTCCACTACGTGACTGCTCTTTGTTCTCGTCCCGTTATACTCCCTCTCTTTCTCTCTGTTTGCGCACATTTTTCTATGTCAATTTGCGCCTGTTTTTGCCCGTTCTCGCCCTCGTTTGCTCCCTACTTTGCTTCAAGTCGCGCTACAAACCCACCGCAGTATGTTCCAGCAAACATTTTATATTCCCGATTACGATGCGAGATGTTTCTTGCGTTTGCCGAGCAGGGATTTGATGAATTTTTTAGAGGCGACTTTTCTTTTGAGCGTGCGAATGCTTTATTCCACGTTTTGTTCGCCGTGATAGGAGTACTGTACTTTGAATTTATGAGACATTCAGAATGAGAGGGTTTTTTGGTAGATTTGGAAGTTTGTCGAGGATTGAGATGTCGGAAGATAATCGCGAATGTTTGGATTGATTTTCAGTGATCGAAGAAGGAAATTTTTCTATGCCACAGCATTCGATCTACGAGTTCTCGAGAAATTCTAATTTCTGTAACTATCTCTTCGTTCGTCACTAGAACGAAATATGTTTTAAGGGATAATAATGGAAAAATTTTTTTTACTAAGTTTTGTTTCTTTGATCTCGATCGAAGAAGAAAATATTTCTGAAAGCTCCTTATTTTCCAATTTTTATTCTTTGAACTCCTGAGAAATTCTAATTTCTGTAACTATCTTTTCGTTCGTTACTGGAACGTAATGCTTTAAGAGATAATAGAAAAAAATATTTTTGCCAAGTTTTGTTTCTTTCCTATCGATTTTCAGTGATCGAAACAAAAGGAAATTTCCGAAAAATTCTACTTTCCATAACTATCTCTCCGTCCCTTCCTACTTTCATCCAACTTCCTCTTCACCTTCCACCAACATAACACCTCCGTTATCCCATTTTAAAAATCAATCCATTCCACGCTAAACCCTAACCTATCCCTAGAAACCCGCCCTTAGCGAAAATTACAGCACGCAATTGCCAGTCCGGATACCGACCACAAACGTGTACCTTTCAGGTGTGCGCAAAAATGCCCGCGATTTTTCCCCATACTGTGTAATCAAATCGTTATCACGAAATTGCGTGCAGTTACCCGGCACCGATTAAACCACCGGGTGTCCTATCGGTGACACGAAACACCAACCAGCTTCTAGCCCCTTTCCTTCTTAAAGTCATTCCACCACTTGTGCAAAGTGCAACTGCCGCGCTAACGATCCGTTTCATGTCAGTGTAACGAGCGGTCACGTCTCGATTTTGCTTGCAGCTTACGCGAACGAGGCATCCTTGGAGATCCTGCCGAGCGGCGAGACTCAGACGAAGCCAATCGGGTCCAGTATCATCCTGACGTGCAAACCGAAGGTCGACGATACGAAGCTGATCACGGAAATGAAATGGCTCGATCCACAGAATCGTGAGATCGAGTCGTTGAAGTAAGTAGAGAAATAAATGATCGTAGATAGCTAGGGTGTAAGTTTGCCTTTAGAATTAACTGTAATTGTTGCAGTATATATATATATATATTTGCCCCTTGCTGGTAACGTGCTGTGTATTCTCGTCTGGTAAGAACAGTGCTTTCTAAAAAAAGAAAAAATCAATACTTCTGTACAGTGGATTAATTGTTAAAAATTGAAGTTTTTAAACGGTTTTGGTTTCCTTCGAAGATCTAATTTCGAGGTTTATGCATTTGTTACGCTTCCGTTTGGGTAATTGAGTTGTACTTGGTCGAACGTCGACCGAAATAAGGGAGATAAATGTTTAAATACGTTTCTATTTTGATTTTTCGAGACGAAACGTGTGTTTGTTTGCCCGTGTAATGGGAAGGGATCGTGTAAAATAAAAGAAATTCGTTTTAGAGGTAATTCTATAGGTACCAGTAGCATCGAGACCCTCCGCAAAGCATCGATCAATGTAACAGAGGAGCGACGTCGATTTATTAAATCCCTATAGATTCATGGAAACATGGCGCGCAGTTTTAACGTCATAATTCAAACGGGGCCGTCGTGAAGCGAGAAACAGAAGGAGAAAAAAATATCACGACAGCGCAAACAAACGTTTGTCAAGCCAGGCGGGAATATACGAGCAAGGGAAGTTCACGCTTTCGAGCTTTTTCGACAATAACAGAACCACTTTTAACGGATAATTGAAACGATGTGCAAAGGGTGAGGTGTGACTCGTGGTGTACAACAAACTTGATGATTTCTCCAAGCAAAACGTTACTTGCATACCTAAAATCCACTTTCTTGCGTCAGTTTTCGTGGAGATGTGTTACGAATTCTTCAAAAATTCTATTTATACGTGATAACATATCGCAGATTAATTTATCGTTAGATGTCTCGTATTAATTTGTCGACAAATGCTTGCTTAATAAATTTCAGTAAAAATTAGAACATACATAAATTCAATTACGAAAGGTTTACATTGAAACAAATGTTCTACAAATTTCTGGGCAAAAGGATCATCTTTTTTGTCACCCCTGTTTGCACCCTGCTCCGCTTAATTAACGTAAATCATTTTTTTGCAATTTTTTTCTTGAATAACACACGAATAGAAACACGACCAACACGCAGCACTAATTTAACAAATTTCTGTCACTTGGTTTGCACACAGATTCGCCGTAATTCCGATCGAAAGGCGAGTATACAAAAACTCCATTCAAGACTTTTACACGCAACCCCGTAGTGTCGTGCCAGATCCTCTGTTTTGCGATGGTCGTCTCCTAAATATACACATATACAGGGTGGACCAGTTAACTCGTTCATCTGAATAACTCTTAAACTGTGCGTTGGCTCGGGAATTTTTGCACAGAAAAATTGCACAATTTCGAGAGAGGTGTTAGGTAACATGTGTGAATACTTCGTTCAACTTCGCAAGGGATGTTAACAAGATTTGTCAATTGTTCCACTGATTAAGATCGATGAAATTTATTTACTTATACCCTCACGAACTGATTGTCAAATTTGCCCAATTGGCGAATACGAGCTCCTTTATTTATCAAATATTTCGTATCATTCTGTATTTTAATTTACTACTTTCTTACTCCATTCGTGGCAAGAAAATTGAAGATTTGAAAGACTTCTCGAACGAATCGAAATATCTCGTTAACCATTGAATTTCGAACCAACAATATTTGCTACATATTTATTCAGAAATTGACATTTGCCCAAACTGCCTCGTGAAATAATACAAAGTTCTACTAAAAAAGTGAAAGAAAACTACGATACATTGAGCCACCTAATGTCGCTCTTCGAACCATGCAACGTTCGTCTACAACAATTTCACAACCAATGCATAGTTCACGAGTTGTTTGCGTGAACATAGCTGCCACCGTGTGTATAGTCACTTTAGAGTTGCCGTTTTCCAAACTTAGAAGACGCTGTCTTTCTTCACTCTCTTCACATGTACCTACACACGCGCTCTCATACCACATACACACTATCATATCGCGCACAAACCCGCCAGCATATACACCCCCTTCATCCCCCCATTTTACCTTCACCCGCCCTTCGTGGCTGATTTACGTCTACTACAGCCACACTCCCCCCCTGTACGGAGCTCTTAATTGCTGCAGGTCCGCCCGATTGTTCTGCGAGCTAAGCGTTGCTCATTAAGCTGTTCGAGAAAGTTTTCCGCCTTCCGCGGCCAAACTGACTTCCCGTTCTATTTGAACGGTTAAACGGAGCCGAGTCTCTCCCCGGTGCCGCGCGTGTACTACCTTGGCTCGCCGCCGCTGATGCAAGAAAACACTGGGCTAAAGTAGACGTTAAACGATGCTCGCCGCGCTCGCGTTCTGCAAGCGTGTTATTCAATGACAACAACAGCGGCCCACCTGAGCAATTAAACGGGTCCCGGTAGCGACACACCGTTCCCTCTCGTGCATATTCAGATCAGTGCTGTCCACGAGTGAAATTTCGCTCTTACGGGATGAGCGAGGAGATGGCAGTCTTCGACTTGGGGTGCTTTGTGAAATTAACACTTGGTTTACGGGCATTTCTTGTATACCTATCTCCAGGGACGTGCGTCAAATTGACGCCTGAACGAAATCGCGCATTTTCTTTAGAAAACGACATATTGTACGCTGTTCGCTTATAAATGAAACTATGTGATATTATATGTTTATATGATAAGCATAATTTCCGTAATTTTCCTTGTGAAATTCGAAATGCGTCAAAGTCGCGCGTCCCGTAAACCTATTTAGTGTTAAAGGGATTAGGGAAAAGGGACTGTTCGCGTTTGGTGAATGGTAATGCTTATGATTGAGGTTTGTAAGCGTCAGGGTACTTGTATTTGGAGAGAAAGTGTGATAGGATTTGTGTTAATGCAGCTTCTTCCCGCGCTTCTTGTTGGTTGGACGGTCGGGTTGGCGTTGTATGTGCCAACTACTTACTGTCGCGATGGTGATCGCGCTTTATTTGTGACGTCGATTGTTGCGGACTGGACCGCACTGGTGTATCAAGAATATCGAGTATCGCGTGTTAGAGCGCTCAAAGTGGTGTCGATTGTTTCTATGTACCTTAGAATCTGCCCGAATGTCGTGAACTGGCTGTATATATCTCTTTTCGCCAAAATGGGGAGTTTACTATGGGCCTTTCACCCCTTAGAGCCGCCCTCCTAGGCCCTTGTGCACTGCCCCGTGTGGTAGAGTAGGGAGCGCGCAGAGGCAAGTACCGGCTTACCATGTGGCCCGCAGAAGTGGAGAATTTCGGCCATCAGGTAATAAGCCGGATTTGCCCTCTGGCGTGAATAGGCTATTGTTATCAAAAAACTTGCAGAAAAACTTCTCAAAAGTAACGTCGCGTGGAATCCGGTGCCATAAACCCCTGTTGGTTAAACAATTTGAATGAAATTTCTTGATTGAAGTTAGCAGATGACCGAGTTCGTTACCGAGTTTTAACTGCGATCGTGGAGTTGATTTTAAACTTGTCCACTTTGAATATTTGGGAGTAATGCTAGATTACTTTTAGCATACCACAGTTGCAGGAAGATAATTATCCAGAGAATGTCAATTTACGAAAATTGATTATTTTAGAAATTTTTTAATTTATCAATTAAGAAATATAAATTGTAGAATAAGTAGTGGCTCAACACTGTTGATAAGTAAATCCCACTATACTCAATTATTTAAAAAAAAAAAACAACGATACTGCTGGAATTTAAATACCCTGTCTTCTTTCGTACCTACTTTAACCCTTTAAATATTCTTCATCAAATCTCACCAATATAAGCTATAAACCCACGTACCAAAATATCGTTAATACAGAGTCTACCCTATAATTGCATTTGAAATAAGCGAAAACCTCGCCCAGTAAGAAGATTAAAACACCGTCTCACTCTTACTCGAACTCAGCAATCAAAGGGTTAAGCGTGAAACTTCAACAATTCCGTCGAGCACACCGTAACTTCGCTGCCTACACATCTCCCTCTCTAAATTTGTCCTAACACTAACCACGGTAGGAGAAACATCCACGAGTATATAATAGCAAGAGAGCAATTCACGTTGAACGAAGACTTGAACTTCCCTCGAACTTCACACTCGAATAGCACTGATCCAAATGTACACGCGTATCAACCCGTTCGGTTCATCCGTTCCCATTCATCGTACGTACGCACGTGCGTGTGTGTGTGTGTACGGCGACGTGTCTTCGATGACGATCCTTCGAAGTTGCTCGCCGCAATATCGGAGGATCGATCCTCCGCTGGCTAAATAATGTATCGCGGAGCGCGTCTTGCAAATATTGAACCGCGCGCGCGATCAAACAATCCAACGAGCGTTAACCTCGGTAACTGATTCGTCGGATCGCGTGTTTGCCCGATTACGCGGACCCCGAGCGATTTGCATAATTATGTCCGCTCGTCGCGACGAGTAATGGCCGATAAATTCAGCGCGGGACGCGTGTACCGGCCGAGAACCGTTTCATTAATCGTACTTACGGACCGTGTTCCCGATTAGGCAAGAAGAAAGGGTATTATTGCATAATCGCCAGGATAACGTTGTTATCTCGCGTGGATCGGCACACGCGTAAACGCGCACAAGGACCGACGTCACTGTTCGAAAATGTTCCCATTCTATTTACCACCTACTCCTGCTTCTTTTCACGTTCGGTTTCGCGATTCCACGCGTTCGACGCGTGCCTTTTGTTGCTCTGTCGTAATTCTTCGCGAAGCGTTCTCTTTCGTTAACTACGCTTATAGTGATCTCGGGCACGTTCGTCGCAAGATGTTCTACACATTGTGCAAGAGAGCTACGTGGTTGGTTGGGTCGTTGCAACTCGCGGTTAAAAGTGACGTTGGACAGTTGTGTCTATATGAGTCGCTTCGTTCACGAGGTGTTTTCAGTTTTGTCGGTTGTTTTGAGGAAATATTTGCGCGGCGAAGGAGTAACGAGATTCGTGTTTAAGGGGTGAAATTGAAATTTGAAAGTTGGCGGCTGAGAGACTGTTAATTGGAATAACTCGAAAATAGATCGATCAGGACGAAAGTCTTGTATGGTTTCTCACGAGAAATCCGAATTACTGTAACTAATAATTTTGAGGCCCTAGACTTTGGAATATTTTCGGACGTTCTAGCTGTACGCAAAATATTTTACCGAAATCTAATTTAAAAGATTTCCCAAAGATTCCTATATTTCGAAAATTAACCGAAAACTTGAGAATCTTCGTCACGCGTATCTTATCTCCACTCCTCTCCATCTCACCTATCGCAACTTATTAAAATACCGCACGGAACACTCGATTCACGTTCCACTTACCACCCCCGATGGTTATCGAAATTCACAGCAATCAAAAGCCAATACAAATCTCCTTTGTCCTCCATTCAACACCTCGCCAAGCCGGCCCGGCCGTAACAAAGAAATCCAAACAATAGGTAACAACTTCATCGTCGGCCGTGAGTAATATCGTTATCCGAAACCTAGCGATTTCTTCCGGACCGCGACTAATCGTATCAGAAACCGTAGCCACGTCTAGTTTCTTCCGTTACTCACTTCTTTCCCCCTTCCAGAGAATAACAGACGAACCGTCCTCGATCTCGCTCGCAGTTTCCTAATCGAAGGGGATCGTTAAAGCGTATCTTTTACCGCTGACGCGGTTCGAATTCGTCTCGAAACTATACATTTACAACCACGATTCAGCATCTCTCTGTGTATCAACCTCTGAACCCTTATCTCCGTATTCTCTCCCCGTGCCCTCTTCATACTCTGTCATGCGGTGTTGTTAAATTGTGTGAATTCATGTGAATGCGTCTCGTTTGTACCAGTTTCCCGGGCCCGTGCACAACACGAAACGACGACGAAATTGCTGGCTGTCCGCGTTTCTCACCTAGGCTTCAGGGATCCAGATAGAACCGAGAGAACAGCAGCCTTCCATCTCTTGCTGGGTGGTGGTGGTGATGAAGGTTCTTGGGTGTTCGATCTGGCTCTCTTACGTCGAATTAAGGTCGATCGATCGGCGTTGTTGCGCGCTCTCGATCCCACGCTATACACATCGATCCAAATTCGACACCGCCCGCCGTGTTCCACGCAAACCGCCTATACCAAACCCCGCCCCGTAACGATATTTCACCGATATCGGCTTGGTGTTTCGCGTTAGAATACGGATTAGATGTTTTCCCGACGATTTATGCGGCTACCGGGATGCCGCGCCCTCGAATATTTCGGACAATCGGTTTACCGATACAGTACACGTCACACAGGGTCACCATAGAGCGTTTAACGTTGAAATTTTGATCGATAGTTTAGTTTAGCTTGACTGTTCGTTTGGTATATTAGACTTTTCATTAGTGATTTAGAGAAGTGTCTGACACGGTGTCTCCCATCGATATTCGGACACTCTTTGGAACGGTGTAACTTTTTCAAAATTGCACCCAACGACTTGAGTTTTTTTCGAGAAGTTAGAAGGATTGGTGTACTAGATGACGTGTGCAAAAAATTTGGAAAAGATTGCAATTATACGGTAGTTTTGAAAATTTTCATTAAGTGCTCAGATAAGAAAGTTGCGAACAGTGACCTTTGCAATTTTCTACGCGATTTCTACGAAGTGCAATTTTTTCCAAATTTCTTAAACACGTCATCTAGTATGCCAATCCTTCTAACTTCTCAAAGAAACTCAAGTCGTTGGGTGCAATTCTAAGAAAGTTACACCGTTCTAAAGAGCGTCCGAATATCGGTGGGAGACACTGTGTGTATAGTTGTAGCTTTGACATATGGAAAGAGAGAGACGAGTAACGGAATGTGTGTGTGTGTGTGTCGTATTATTTGAAGAACGATTTTTTCATTCGCGAAACACTGAGCCCAATTTCTTGTTCGACTCTTTACAAACATCTCATCTGAACATTCTCATAGTTCTCTAGTTTACATCATCATTATTATTATTGACGTTTTTATTCTGGTTGTGTAACGAATTGTAACAGTGTTTTTCTTTGTTTTTTTTTCCTTTTTTTTTTTAAATTATCCAATGCAGCACGTTCACGGGCCATCCGAAGCCATCGATGTACACCCAATTGCACCAGGATAACAAATTGTCTTTGTTCTTCAATTCCCTGAAAGAGGAGCAGGCCGGGAAGTACACGTGCAAAGCTAAGTACGCGGCTTCGATTGAGCTGGAGAAGTCTGTCACGATCGATACTATAGGTGAGGATTTATCTCGATGGGATTGTGCTTCGAAAGTTAAATGTTCGTCGAAGTACGACGTTTCAACAGATTCGTGCGGAATGGTTTTAATACTAAAATTCGAAACGGTCCATCGGCAATTTTTAGGCAAAGATTGATTTTCAATATTCGTCGGTATTATCGTTCGCAGCTTTCCAACCTTCTTTCCAAATTTTTCCAAGTTTTTATAAAAATTCAATTTCAGAGAATTGCTGAAATATCGTTTCAACCCTGGTCCCTTCGAGTATTAAATCAAAAATTGTGTAAATGCATTTAGTATTTACAATCCAAACGTTCAAAATTTGATTTTAATTTTCCAGATTAAACTGTTTTAACTAAGAACACTGAAACTTTTCATACGGAAACTTCGAAAATTGCAGTTTTAATTAAACTAAATTTCGATATTACCATAAATTTCCTGTATTCCACATGTCTAACAATCGAAATGATCAAAAGTCCCGGGAGAATCGTCGGGTAGGGAAATTCCCGTTCGGCAAATTCGTTTGATTTCACTTTATTTTCCACGACACGATAGTCGGAGCGAAGTATAATATCGAGAATATCCGGTAGACATTTATGGAAATTCTTCGAACCGAAACTGTTGAAGCGGTCTCGATGGAAAAGAAGCACGAGACAGAAGTATGAAGAGTAATTACTGTTTCGCAGTTGCGATCACTTGGAACAATGCGCCGCTCAATCAATACCCCATTTTGGGAGAGGACTTCGCTATTCAGTGCAAAGTGCAGGCAAGGCCTTCGCCCTCGGTCGACTGGGTGTACAACGGTGAATTAATTAAGACGAACGACCACTACATTATAGACACGTATGCCCTGAAGATCAAGAACGTTCAAGAATCCGACGACGGCATCTACACCTGCCGTGCTTACGTAGTGACTACCGGCGAGCTCAAGGAACGAGCTATCCGCGTTGAGGTGGGTATTCAACCGTTGACACGATTTTATTTTAGTTACTCTTCGAGATACAGTAGTTTCTTGTTCAATTGCAACATTCTACCTTTGAAAATTGCTGGGAACTTTTTAATCAAATTTGTAACGAAAATTGAGAGATTTTCATGTTTAAATTATAAGCTACAAGAAGTTTAAATTATTTGGACATTTGTGACATTCTGTGACTAAATTTCGCGTTTGAATGCACGAAGATTAAATTCTGGTCAAATGGAAGCAACCTTGTTACGTCTGCTGACGTACTATTAAGCGAATCTGAATAAGATTATGCATACGAAAAATGTAGAATACTTGGTAAAATCTTTTTTACAAAAGAAGGAAATATTTTTCATAAATTTCGTGTGTTTGAATACAAGATTAATTCTACTCGAATAAAGGCTGTCTTTTTATCTCTGCGGACGTATCATCAAACGAATCTAGATAACATTTATAAATATAAAAACCGTGGAGTGCATAAAGAACGAAAATGAATGCGTAACGAAATATTTCCCATAAATCACCCCTGTTTGACTACACAAAGATTAATTCTACTCGAATAAAAACACGTCCTTCGTAAATTTCGCATTCACGAATCACGAGTATACGAGTCTAACGAAAATATATACGCTGGCCAGCAGAGTACAGCTGAACACAATAAAAATGATTAAAAAAGCTGCAAACTCAACGGAGAAATAAACGATCGAGCTGAATTCTGTCTACCAATTTGCCCCAAGTTTGTATACTGGCCACTGTACAAACACGCACGCTCTCTCCTTCATCCCCCCTTGAAGCTCCGGCCGAACTGCATACGCCAATTATTCCCAATCCTAGCCATAATACCGCCACAGGTATCAGTGAACAGGTTTGCGTTTCATTTGATAGGTCCACATACGCCCTACGGTGGAGGAGTTCCCTGGTCCGGTAGACATAATCGAAGGCAAAGACGCGAGCATACAGTGCAAAGCTCATGGCAAACCGCCTCCAAAAATCACCTGGGTGAAGGATCATCAGAATCTCTCCAACACCGGCCGATTCGGCGTAGACTCCGACACAGGCCTGTTGACAATCTCGAACGTGAACAGCGACGACGCCGGCGAATATCAATGCACAGCGACGAACGCCGCCGACACAGTCACCACGAAAGTCTTGGTGAACGTGATCGTGAAACCGAAGATCACCGAGTTCTCGAACAACACAGTGGTCCAGGACAAAGAGGCGACTCTCGTTTGCAAAGCTTTCGGCAGACCTCCGCCCCAAATCACTTTCAGAAAGCACACCAAGGAGAAATCCTACGTAAAGGGAGCACAGCTGGACGACGACAGAATCATCCTGATAAACAACGCGAACGACATGACCAACGAAACTGTCGCCACGCTGACCATCCAGCAGTCTCTCAGGTCTGACGACGGTCTTTACGAGTGTATCGCGCAGAACAGCGGGGGTGAAGCACTTAGAAACGGGCATTTGACCGTGGAGTTTCCTCCGTCGTTCGCCTCTATGCCGAACAAAACGTTCTGGTCGTGGGAACAGAAGCCTGTGAACATCAGTTGCATCGCCGACAGCATACCGAATGCCACTATACGCTGGACCACTCATGGCGATCAGAAGATCGACAATGACCCTATGATCAAGCAGGTAGAAAACGGACCGGTCTCCATGCTCACGATTGTCCCGTTGGATAGACGGTATTACACCACTTACAAGTGCATCGCGTCGAACAAGCATGGCACGCGGCAACGTAACATCGAGCTGAGAGAGGCCACGAAACCTGGGGAAGTGCTGCAAGTCAAAATGGCCGAGATCACCGCGACTACGATCAGGTTCGATCTCGTGCCGCCCCCCACGCATCCTGAATTGCCAGTGCGAACTATCAGCGTGCAGTACAAGGAGGACGCGCAGACTTGGATGGAGGCTAGGAACAAAACGTGGTCTATCGGTAAGTGAAATTATAGAGAGTTTTAACGGTAGGATCACCCGGGTCGAAAGTGACCCACTGGTAACTCGGCGAAAATGAATAAAGGGTGATCGAAGAATTAGATTCGCATCGATACAAACCTATGCAGAAAATAAAGTGGGGAAGTTAGAAAGGATAGTCCACTTTTTTTTGGAAAATTTCTAGTATTAAAAAGTACGCAAATTTTAGTCTTTCTCAAGATTGAAGAATTCTCTCACAGTGTGATTTTACACAATTTTAAGGATAATTGAATGAATTCCAAAATCTCAAGTTAATCTTCGGAACGATTAACTCTTTGCGGTCGAATCCCGGGATACTCCCGGCAAGGCGTTTGTACCTTCTAAACGCTCTGTCGGCGCCCTTTGCCCGCAGAAACGGGGAAAAAGTAATAATATGCACGTAGCTTGAACAAGCTCGTTTGAGTAAAATTTGTGCGATTTTTGGGCAATAATTGACCGAGTGCGCGCTACCAAGAAATAATTCCGACCGCAAAGAGTTGAAAACACAAAAAATCTCTATCTTTGAAACTGAAATAGCGAAATTTCCAAACGTCTCATCCTTACTATCCGCCAAAACCACCTTAATAAACGAGTCCTCCCTTCGTCTCTCGCGGTGCATCGACATTGTTCCCCCGGCAGAATTACATGCCCGTAGGAAATCACGTCGTAACACAATAAACCATTTTTCCGCCTCTTCCAGATTCCTTCTACGTGCTCGAAGGCTTGAAACCGCAAACCGCGTACGAGTTTCGATTCGCGGCGATGAACGAGGTCGGACTGGGCAATTGGGGTGCCTTCCACCGCCAGATCACACCCGTAAGGACGTTCCCGAACGAGCCAAAGATAATAACGACGACGGCGGAGTACGACATGTCCATGTTCAACAATCAATACGAATTGTCCTGGCTGGCGCCGGCAGACAACGGCGAGCCGATCGACATGTACCAAATCAAATACTGTCAAATAAAACGCGTGTCCGGGGATTGGGATCTGCTGGAAGAGACATGCCGAACGGAGGATATAAAGACACAAGGAAGAATGAGGCACTGGCTGAAGAATCTCTATTCGGACACGTTCTACGAGGTGGAACTGAGGGCGCACAACGTGATGGGTTTCAGTAAGCCTGGAGTCGCGAAGTTTAAGACTGCAAGGGGTAAGTTTCTGCTATTCTATTCTTTCACTCCTTCTATCTGATTTTTTTGTTGTTTTTTTTTTTTTCAATTTTCTTCGTCTTGTCGACACACGTTTTTTCAACCGTATTCTCTGGAAACGCGTTAACGTTTTTCGTTTCGCCGTTTCTTCATCGTACGATGATATATCTCGTCGGTAATTTAATTAGTGCCCTTGTTATCAAGTCAAGTAATTTCTCGTTGAAATTATTATTACTATATATGTGCACGAGGCTATTGCACCGATTGATATGTCGTTTCTGTTTATTTGATTTATTTATATATTTTTTTTTCTTTTTTCAACCCAACGAGAAAGACCGTTTATACAATTACTTCGCCTCTGTCTTTTTAATTATTCACTCAAGGAGGAGGGAAAAGGGTCATTGAGGCATTTCGATACACGTTTCAGTCTCTTGTGCTCTTCTTTTGTTTGCGATGATTTTCAATCTGAGAAATGAAGTTTCTTCAAGATTTTTGCCCTCAGTCCCCTTGACCCTTTTGTAGAAAAGCGACTTAGATGAACTATCTGGTAGCCGTTCGATATATGGGCATCTTAGGCATATTAGATATTCTTCCCACCTTTTTAACCGTAAATAAAAGAAACATGTTCGAGACACAACAAACGATCCTTCTACAAGTCACTTTTTATCATTCAGAATCTCCGGGCCTCAATGTGGACTACAATGTAGATACTTCCGCTGGAGGTACTCGCAAGCTCGACGTGACCGCCATTGCCACAGCAATAACGATCCTATTCCTAGCCATTTAAAAAACAAACAAACAAACAAACGTATAAAAAAAAAAAAAAACAGAAAAGAAAAAAATACAAAACAGACAAAAGAAAGAGTATAAAAATGAGAAATACAGAAAATAACGCAAAAATCATCATCAGGAACGGTCGCTGTTCACGCTCTAATCTTTCCGTTTTTACATAGTGTACACAGTTTTTAGAACGTGGTATGCGATATACGAACGTACTATGTTAATATATACCACCGGGAGAGTACAACCAGAGACACACACAATGGACAGAAAAAGAAAAGAAACGAGAGAATAGAAAAAAGAAAGAGAGGAACACAAAGTTCACAAGT